CAGGGTCACCTGGGGCAGGGGAAGAGGGAGCCTCCTAGTCCATTGGCTGAGGGAGGCGGTGGGGCATCCATGGTTCACCTTGTTGGCCGGGGAGCCGTTGCTGACCACATCAAAGTCCTCCTCTCAAATCAGTCCAGTGGGTGGAGGCAGGCACACAGCCATAGCAGGCCATGAAGAAGGAGGCCTTTGAAAACCAGCTGAGAGGTTCCAAGAAACGCCCCAAGAACGGGCTGTGTCAACATGTCATGTGCCCCCCAGACCCGCTGGTGCAGCTTCCAAGCAGCTTCCCGAAGCAGGGCTGCTCAGATGCCTTGGCTGGGAGGCAGGGCAGCATGGAGGACAGAGCCTGAGCTTCAGGAGGCATCAGACCTGGGGCAAAGTCCTTACCTCTCTGATCTGTAAAATGGACCCAGTAGTATATACCTCATGGGGTTGTCGGGAGAACCAAGAGCTGATACAGGGATTGTGTCTCCCTTTGTGCTTGGCTCAGAGTAGGGGCTTGATAAATTCACTCAATAAACATTTGTTGAACACATACTATATGCCAGTCCGTCCATTGTGTACGCTGAGTTCTAGCAGTGAACAAAAGTCCGAGGGGCCCTCATGGAACTTGCAAATCTGCGTTGAGGGAAGAAGGATGCGTGCAGACAATCAGCAGATGAACACATGAATCAGGATGGACGAGGGCTTGCAGAAGACAGGTCCTCAGGAGGGCCCCTCTGGAGGGGAGATGTCAGACAGACCTGGCTGACCTGAGGGACAGGCTGCCTAAGGGTTTTTAGCCACGGCCACTCACAGGAATCACCTGAGCAGCCTTTGAAGATTCTGATGTCCAAGCTCCTCTCCAGGGTGTTTAAAAAAATTTTTTTGAAACAGGGTCTGATTCTGTCACCCAGGCTGGAATGCATGATCTCAGCTCACTGAAACCTTCACCTCCTGGCTTCAAGTCATTCTCCTGCCTCTGCCTCCCAAGAAGCTGGGATTGTGCCTGCTGCCATGCCCAGTTAATTTTTGTTTTTGTTTTTTGAGGCGGAGTTTCGCTCTTATTTCCCAGGCTGGAGTGCAATGGCACGATCTCAGCTCACAGCAACCTCCGCCTCCGAGATTCAAGCAATTCTCCTGCCTCAGCCTCCTGAGCAGCTGGGATTACAGGCAGGTGCCACCACTCCTGGCTAATTTTGTATTTTCAGTACAAACAGGGGTTTCACCACATTGACCAGACTGGTCTCGAACTCCTGACTTCAGTGATGTGCCTGCCTTGGCCTCCCAAAGTGCTGGGATTACAGGTGTGAGCCACCGCACCCGAGCTCTCCCCGAGAATTCTGATGGGCTTGGTCCGGATGCAGCCTGGGACTGTAAAATTCTGCCCAGGTTATTGACGTGCAGCTAACAGTGAGAACCTGATGCCCAGCAGGCTTGCCAAGTACCTGGCTACAGGAGCATCACCTGGGGAGCTTGTCCGGCATCCTGGGCTGGGCTCCACCTCCAGTGTTCGGATTCAGGAGCCTGAGGTGAGGTCCGGCATCGACCCTTTTAACAGGCACCCAGGTGATTCTGAATAGATTGTAGGAGAGCAAGGGTGAGCTCCAGAGATTGGCTGTCACAGCCTTCCTCACACTGAGCCCAGACACACTGCATGGGACCACCCACTGTTCCCATGAGCACTGTCCCACCACCTTGGAAGTCCCCTGCCTTGCTCCAGGCAAGTCCTACTCCTGCTCCTGGGCTGACCATGAAGCCCGAAGCTTCCCACCACCTCTGCCCCTTGGCTGAAGCCCCCATGCCACCCTGTTCCACGGCGTGCTTCATGTCTGGCTAAATCCTGGGCTCCTAGAGGTGGGGCCAACTTATGCATGGCACATGGTACCAAGCCCAGCACCTCACAGGGTATGACTTGTCTTTGTTGAAGGAATACCAAATGTCTTCCAGCCTCCCCTGCTCCCACAACTAAGCCAAAGGTGGAGGGGTGGTGACTGACTCCTCTAGATCCCTGCTCCACCCCCTGACCTGAGTCTCCGGTCCCAGGATTCCTCTTGTGGCATCTGGCTTCTCTCCCACCCACTGCACTCTTGGTCTTGCCCTAAGGGCCAAACTCTGGGAAGGGAGACGGTGTACAATTATGTTCCCCCAGGCAAAGGTGCCCCAGAACGTCCTCTCCATCCTTGCTAAAGAACCAGGTATCAGCTGGTTGTGGCGGTTCATGCCTGTAATCCTAGCACTTCAGGAGGCCGAGGCAGGAGGATTGCTTGAGTTCAGGCGTTTGAGACCAGCCTGGCCAATATGATGAAACCCTGTCTCTACAAAAACTACAAAAATTAGCCAGGCAAGGCCAGGTGCGGTGGCTCACACCTGTCATCCCAGCACTGTGGGAGGCTAAGGTAGATGGATTAACTGAGGTCAAGAGTTTGAGACCAGCCTGGCCAATATGATGAAACCCTGTCTCTACTAAAACTACAAAAATTAGCCAGGTATGGTGGTACACACCTATAATCCCAGCTACTTGGGAGGCTGACACAGGAGAATTGCTAGAACCCGGGTGATGGAGGTTGCAGTGAGCCAAGATTGCACCATTGTACTCCAGCCTGGATAATAGAGTAAAACTCCTCAAAAAAACAAAGAACAGCTGGGTGCGGTGGCTCACGCCTGAAATCCCAGCACTTTGGGAGGCCGAGTGGGTGGATCACGAGGTCAAGAGATCCAGACCATCCTGGTCAACATGGTGAAACCCCATCTCTACTTAAAATACAAAAAATTAGCTGGGCACGGTGGCGCCTGGGTAACAAGAGCAAAACTCTGTCTCAAAAAAAAAAAAAAAAAAGCAAACAAACAAAAGTACCTCTAGAGAGACAAAGTAGCAAATATAAGAAGCCATGTCTGTTCATTTTTGACAGCATAATTTCACAAAGCTCCTGATGCCAGTGACAAAATGTAAAAAACCGATCACACTACAGGTCTTTCTTTGTTTCCTAGTAACTGGCCTAAAAACCAAAAGAGTTTACATTTTACCAACAAAATCCTGAATTATCTTTATTAGTTTTGATTACTTAAAAAAACTGAACTTTAGGCCGGGTGTGGTGGCTCACGCCTGTAATCCAAGAACTTTGGAGGCCAAGGGGCAGATCACCTGAGGTCAGGAGTTCAAGACCAGCCTGACCAACATGGTGAAATCCCGTCTTTAAAAAAAAAAACAAACAGAAAAAACCCTGAACTTTAAAAGAATTAAAGTTTTAACATCCATGTAACTTTCTAAATAGCTTTTAAAGTCTTTTTTTTTTTTTTTAGAGTCTAGCTCTGTTTCCCCGGGCTGGGGTACAATGGTGGAAGATCTTGGCTCACTGCAACCTCCGCCTCCCAGGTTCAAGCAATTCTCCTTCCTCAGCCTCCTGAGTAGCTGGGATTACTGAGTAGCTGGGTACCCACCAATACGCCCAGTTAATTTTTTGTATTTTTCGTAGAGATGGCATTTCGCCATCTTGGCTAGGCTGTTCTTAAACTCCTGACCTCAGGTGATCCACCCGCCTCTGCCTCCCAAAGTGCTGATATCACAGGTGTGAGCCACTGCACCTGGCTACTTTTAAAGTCATTTATCACTCTGGTTAAATAAATATTATTTGGCTGAATGCAGTGGCTCCCACCTATAATTCCAGCATTTTAGGAGGCTGAGATGGGAGGTTTGCTTGGGGCCAGGAGTCACGGACTAGTCTGGGCTGAGCATATCAACATATCTGTAGGCCCAGCTATGAGGGCAGAAAGCTAGGCATGGTGGCACATGCCTGTAGGCCCAGCTATGAGGGCAGAAAGCTAGGCATGGTGGCACATGCCTGTAGGCCCAGCTATGAGGGCAGAAAGCTAGGCATGGTGGCACATGCCTGTAGGCCCAGCTATGAGGGCAGATTGCTTGAGCCCAGGAATTCAAGGCTGCAGTAAGCCAAGATCCAGCAACTTCACTCCAACCTGGGCTCCATCTCAAAAAAGAAGAAAAAAGGTATAGAGATCTGATTATCCTAACGTGGTGCTGACAGTCAGAATTCTAATTATCTTAATTACTACATATAATAAAAATAACTACATTTCCTTGCCAATTAAAACCCTTCATCAGAGCTTAACAATGGGTATTATTTTTGTCATTCATAGCTATTACTTTAAATTCTTCTCTAACAACATTTACTACCAACCCTAGTTCAAAATTACTTTTCAGGCCTGGTGCAGTGGCTCCAGCCTGTAATCTCAGTTCTTTGGGAGGCTGAGGTGGGAGAACTGCTTGAGGTCAGGAGTTTGAGGTTGCAGTGAGCCATGATCACACCACTGCATTCCAGCCTGGGTCACAGAGTGAGACCCTGTCTCCAACCACCCTCCCCACCAAAAAATTGTTTTTCATTAAAAAAACAAAACAAAAAAACTCTAGCTGGATGTGGTGGCTCACACCTGTAATCCCAGCACTTTGGGAAGCCAAGGCAGAAGGATTGCTTGAGTCTAGGAGTTCAAGATCAGCCTGGGCAACATAGGGAGAGCAAGATAAAACACAGTGCCTCCCACCACCTGACAGCCCTTGCTTGAATCACTATATTCCTTAAAAGACCAATGACCCCAGTCCCAGCCAGGTGCAGTGGCTCACACCTGTAAATCCCAGCACTTTGGGAAGCCAAGGCAGGAGGATCACTTGAGGCCAGGAGCTTAAGACCAACCAGGGGAATGTAGCAAGACCCCCGTCTCCATAAAAATAAAGTAACCGTAGTCCTTGCTTCTTCTTGCACACAAGATAATCTCTGACAGAGTTAGCTATTACACCTCCGTAATCAATAACCACATATACTCTTAGAGCCAAATTTTGATGTCATTTTGCACATACTGAATCCCCACTCCCTGTATATAAACTATAAGCTAAAACACTGATTAAAAATCTGACAAAACTGTTCTAGGGCTATAGGCCTTGCTCTGTAGTCCTCTGTAAGACTTCTAAATAAAACTAACTTTAAGTCTTTAAATGGTTAATTTTTTTAAATCGACACTTTTAGAGGGTCGTTAGGGATTACATGAGTCAATATTTGCCAAGGGTTTAGCAACCGGGCACGTGGTCATCATTACATGTGTTTGCTAAATAGCACTAGTGTAGTCAGTCAACAATGTAGGTCCTGCTGATGCTGGGTCTGGGAGGTTGGGAATGAGATTTCCACTTTACAGGTGAAGAGACTGAGGATCCGGAGAGGAAGAGACTTGCCCAGATGGCACTCAAACCTGGGTTCTGTCTCCCTTCAACCTTCACTCTTCCAGCACCCCAGGCCACCTCCCTCCCTTCTCAGGCGCCTAGGCTGGCTCGGGTGGGCGCAGTGCCCCACACTTGACAGAGGCCCCTTTGTCCCCCTGCCCAGTGTCACACCCTGAGGGTGAGGCACGGCCGGACAAGCGCCCAGTGTCTGCGTCTGTTTCATCGCCAGGTCTGCGGCCGCCTGGACGGCTCCAGCCACAGGACTCACGGTAGGTGGATCCCAGGGCGTTCCCATCGCTTCCACCCCCAACCCCAACCTCGGCACCCCCGACTCTCCCTCGGCACAAAGGAGCAGAAAGCATCAAGGGAAACACCCCAGTTCTTGGTCTCGACTCTGCAGCAAACTCTGAGTCTGGGTGTTGGGGGGAAGGGCTCCCAGCTGTCTCAAATACCAGGAGCAGGAGCTGAGGGTGTGGGAATAGCAGCGAGGCCGCTCTGGATGTTGGAAGAAGGCTGTGATGGGATCCTGGGGAGTGGGACAGAGATTACCTGGCCCTTTTTTACCCTGTGCTCTGTTTACTTAAAAATAAAAAATAGACAAGTCTCACTTTGTCCCCAAGGCTGGAGTGTGGTGCCTCCATCATAGCTCACTGAAGCCTCAACCTCCTGGCCTCAAGCAATCCTCCAGCCTTGGCCTCTCAATGCACTGGGACTACAGGCACACACATCCCCATGCCTGGCCCAGTTCACTTCTCTTTACCACCTGGATTGGCAGAATAGCCTCCTCGCTGGTCCCCCTGCCTCTACTTCCCCACCTCCCCTCCCTCCCAGTCCCTCTTCACACAGCCAGAGGGAAACTGTTAAAACGGCAACTCTCCAGCCTGAGCAACATGGCAAGACTCCATCTCTACAAAAAAAAAAAAAAACAAAAATTAGCTGGGTGTGGTGGGAGGATCGCTTGAACCTGGGAAGTCAAGGCTGCAGTGAGCTGTGATCACATCACTGCTCTCCAGCCTGGGGGACAGAATAAGACCCTGTCTCTAAATAAATAAATAAAGGCAAATCTGATCACATCATGATCTGGGCTAAAAGCTCCAAAAGCTTCCCCTTTGCTTTAGGAGAATGCTTGCCCAGCCTGGAAGATGCGGCCCTTCCCCTCCCCGAAGCCCTTCTCTCCCAGTCCACCCCCTTCCACCTGATCCCTCCCACAGATTAACTGAGATATAAATATAACTCTCCACCTAAAAATATTACGGGTAGAAGTAACACTGAGGATGGCTAGAACTGGATATGAGAAAACTCATTATTGACTAAAATGCACAAAAGAATCAAATCCTGAACACGAATCTTTTTTTGGTTTTAATTTAAGTCTTCCAAAATGGGATGAGGTTACCCAGTCAGTCACACAATGGCAGAAACTAGTGTCAGGAGCCTGCAGCCCCCAAACTGATGGATGCCTCCAATCTCAGCAGCAAAACGTGAACGGAATTGATGCCGATGAAAACAGTTTCAGTCAAATTACAATGGAATGAAAAACACAGCCATTGTTGATCTGTACCACAGCGGAAAAACAGAAAAATCTGATCAAAGAATTAAGTTGGATGAATAGAGTTCAAGCTGGAGAACACCGTCTTAAAAGCTTTTCAGTGTTGGTATGTTTTGGTTTAAAATGTTTGCATTCAAAACATCCTTAGGGTTAAAATATCCTTAGTGGTTAAAATATCCTGTGCCCCTCCTATCTGTTTCCTGTGACTCCCCACCTTCCAGCCACACTGGGCTCTTTCTGTCCCTGGAGCACAGCAATCTCTCCCTCACCTGGGAGCTTTCTCAAACCCTGTTCTCTCTGCCTTGAGTGCTCTTTTGCTCCTGATCCCACCCTCCTCCTTCTCATGGCTGTTGTTTATTTAACTATCACCTCTGAGAAAGGCCTTCCTGTATTGCTCTCTTATTCCCTCTTTTTTTTTTTTTTGAGATGGAGTCTCACTCTGTCGCCCAGGCTGGAGTGCAGTGGTGCAATCTCGGCTCACTGCAACCTCCGCCTCCTGGGTTCCAGCGATTTCCTGCCTCAGCCTCCGGAGTAGCTGGGACTACAGGCACATACCACCATGCCCAGCTAATTTTTGTATTCTTTAGTAGAGACGGGGTTTCATCATATTGGCCAGGAACTCCTGACCAGTGATCCGCCCCCCTCAGCCTCCCAAAGTGCTGGGATTACAGACATGAGCCACCGAGCCCGACCCTCCCTCTTTTTCTTTCTTTCTTTCTTTTTTTTTTTTTTTTGAGACAGAGTCTTGCTCAAGATTTCCTTCCCACTTCCTCTTAATCCCACTTTTTTTTTTGAGACCGAGTCTCACTCTGTCGCCCAGGCTGGAGTGCAGTGGCACAATCTCAGCTCACTGCAAACTCCGCCTCCTGGGTTCCAGCGATTCTCCTGCCTCAGCCTCCTGAGTAGCTGGGATTACAGGTGTGCACCACCACACCTGGCTAATTTCTACATTTTTAGTTAGAGACGGGGTTTCACCATGTTAGCCAGGCTGGTCTCGAACTCCTGACCTCAAGTAATCTGCCTGCTTTGGTCTCCCAAGTGCTGGGATTAAAGGTGTTAGCCACCTCGCCTGGCCTCTTATTCCCTGTTGAGAATCTGTCTTGTTCCCTCTTGGAACCCTGTCTTGTTCCTCCTTGAATTCCCAGGGCAGAGCCTACCAAGTATAGCACAGAGTAGGTACTCAATAAATATTGATGACATGAATGAGGAAATCAGTGTCACTGGGATGAGAGCTAGGACAGTAGGCTGAGGCTTGGTGGGAGGGGCTGGGACCGGGTAGAGACACACCCGCTTACTCATGACATCAAGTTCCAGGAAAGGCCATTTCAGTGGGAGAGCAGAGACTGGCTGCGCATGGCTCATGCCTGTAATCCTGGCACTTTGGAAGGTGGAGGCAGAAGGATCGCTTGAGCCCAGGAGTTTGAGACCAATCTGGGCAACAGAGGGAGACCCCTGTCTCTACAAAAAATGTAACAAAATTAGCCAGGTGCATACCTGTAGTCCCAGCTATTCGTGAGGCTCTTGGCTGAGGGCTGGAGCGGGAGGATGGCTGGGGCCTGGGAGGTAGAGGCTGCAGTGAGCTGCTATCTCGACACTGCCCTCCAGCCTGGGTGGCAGAGCAGGACCCTGTCTCAAACAAAAAACAAAAGAGGAGACAAAACCAGTCCTGCTCCTCATTTTTGCCCTATGCCCAGCTTCCCAAGGGTCAAGCCCATGTGCCAACTGGACAGCTGCCCCTTCACCCCTTCATCTGGGCCACCTCCTTGGGGCTTGGCTCCCACATGTGGCTTCAGGCCAGGCTATTTGGGGAAACTTCCTGATTCCCCCCTCTGGCCTCTCCACTCCAACACCTCGTCTTGCAGACCCAGAATAGCTGTCCCCAGTCTCAACCTAGGGAGAGTCTCATTCCCAATTAGCACCCAGAGGGTTGAAACCATCTCTAAAAGTTCTTGTGTCCCTCTCCCCTCAGGAAGCTGCTAACCAGGACAGCAAATTTCAGAATCAGGTTGTAAGAATGCTACCTGCTCCGGTATTCACCTCCTAGCCAGAGACGCATGGCATGGTATGCGAGGAGATTTGGGTGAGGGGAGATTCAGGGAGAGCCAGGGGTGACTGCAGCCTGTGACTCTTTTAGTCCAAGAAGCAGCTCCAGCATGGTCCAGTGAGGTGAAAGGACACCTAGGTTCAAGTCCAGGTTCTGCTAGAAGATAGACTGCCCAAGTTGCTTTGCTCTCTGAGCTTTCACCATCTACAAAAAGAACTTTGATCTCAGCCAGGCGCGGAGGCTCATGCAGGTAATCTTTGCACTTTGGGAGGCCGTGGCAGGTGGATCACCTGAGGTCAGGAGTTTGAGAACAGCCTGGACAACATGGGGAAACTCTGTCTCTATTAAAAGTACAAAAAGTTAGCTGGCCAAGGTGGCATCTGCCTGTAATCCCAGCTACTCGGGAGGCTGAGGCATGAGAATCTTGTGAACCCAGGAGGCGGAGGTTGTAGTGAGCCAACATTGAGCCACTGTACTCCAGCCTGGGTGACAGAGTGAGACTTGTGTCAGAAAAAAAAAAAAAAAAAAGGAATTTTGATCTCTGCAGGTGCTCATAGGATGGGATGAGGCAGTTCTGTATACAGCAAAGTTCTGTACAAAATCAAAGAACAGGAGGCCCCTCAGGATCCCAGGGAGATCACTCTGGAGATGGATTCTTGCGGAGGCCCCGAGCCCATTACAGAATTCTTCCTCTGCTAAAGTCTCACTGGAGGACTGGCTGAAGCCGCCGCCCACAGGGAGAGCAGGCAGACTTCTCCCACATTCCAGAGACCACGCTCCATGCCTCCCTCTTTAGGGGCTCCTAGAAAATCCAAGGGTTCTTGTTCCCAAAGCCTCTGCCTGGCATTTCTTCTCCTCTCAGCAGGGGGTGGGGGAGTGCCCCATCCCCATCCTGCCCTCCAGGGCCAGAGTGCTCAACTTTGTGTCAGGGGAGGGGGTCAGCTGGCATCAGATGTGGAGCTGAACAGAGCTGAGATCAGGATAGAGAAGTCTGGGGCTTGGGATATAGGAGAGACATCTGGGGGTCCCAGGAAGGCTGGACAGGGCAGGCAGGCAAGGCCAAAGCTGGGGTTGGCCTCTGGCCTGGGCATTTAAAGTGAGGAGAAGGACCTGTGGAGTCAGTCCTTGCCCCACCCAAGGAAATCTTAGTCAAATAAACAAACAGCCAGCACAGTGGCTCCTGTGTGAGGTGGGAGGGATGGGGAGGCCACAGAGGTGGGGAGGCTGAGAGAGGGCAGGGAGGCTGTTTAAACAGGCCCCTTGGCCTGGGACAGTTGGCAGAAATATTTGGAACAGGGTGGGGAGCACAGCGGTGGTTTAGAGCAGGAAGCTGGGGCCCGGGGTGGGTGGGTTGAGCTTGGCTGCTCCCAGGAGAAAGAGAAGTGTTGATTCAGCCCCACTCTGGTCAATGCCTCTTCTGAGGGAGACTCCAAGTCCCAACGCCCTTCCCTAGGTTCAAGGTCAATCAGGTCAACCAGACAGACAAGGGGCTCTCTCCCAGAGTGATGACTCTGGACCCCCAGCCCTGCTCCCAGGCCTGTGACCCTGGGCCTCATCACTGAAGAACATTTCAGAGTTGGAGCCAAAACCCCTGTGTTCCTAACAGAGGAGCTGCAGATGAGCCAGCAGCTCTTTTTACTTTTTTTTTTTTTTTGAGATGGAGTTTCACTCTTGTCACCCAGGCTGGAGTGCAATGGCATGATCTCGGCTCACCACAACCTCTGTCTCCTGGGTTCAAGCAATTCTCCTGCCTCAGCCTCCCGAGTAGCTGGGACTACAGGCACGCACCACCATGCCCATCTAATTTTTGTATTTTTAGTAGAGATGGGATTTCATCATGTTGACCAGGATGGTCTGAATCTCTTGACCTCATGATCCACACGCCTCAGCGTCCCAAAGTGCTGGGATTACAGGCGTGAACCACCACGCCCGGCCTACCTTTTTTTTTTTTTTTTTTTTGAGACAGGGTCTCGTTCTGTCACCCAGGCTGGAGTACAGTGGTGCGATCTCAGCTCATTGCAAACTCCACCTCCCAGGCTCAGGCAATTCTTTTGCCTCAGCCTCCCAAGAACCTGGGATTATAGGCATGCACCACCATGCCAGGCTAATTTTTTTTATTTTTCATTAGAGACAAGCTTTCACCATGTTGGCCAGGCTGACCTCTTAACTCCTGACCTCAAGCAGTCTGCCCACCTTGGCCTCCCAAAGTGCTGGGGTTACAGGTGTGAGCCACCATGCCGGGTCCATCCACTCTCCTTAGTACATGATAGTCCCCTTCCTGCCTCCTTGCCTAGCAGTGGAGGCGCCAAGAAGTGATCATGGCCCCCTGGGTGGCATTATCACCTTCTTTATTTGGAGTACAATGGCACAGTCTTGGCTCACCGCAACCTCCGCCTCCGAGGTACAAGTGATTCTCCCACCTCAACCTCCCAAGTAGCTGAGATTAGAGGCATGCACCACCATGCCTGGCTAATTTTGCATTTTTAGTAGAGACAGAAAATGGCCACCGGGTGTGGTGGCTCACGTCTATAATCCCAGCACTTTGGGAGGCCAAGGCGGGTGGATCACGAGGTCAAGAGATTGAGACCATCCTGGTCAACATGGTGAAACCCCGTCTCTACTAAAAACACAAAAAATTAGCTGGGCATGATAGCGCTTGCTTGTAGTCCCAGCTACTCAGGAGGCTGAGGCAGGAGAATTGCCTGAACCCAGGAGGCGGAGGTTGCAGTGAGCCGAGATCGCACCATTGCACTCCAGCCTGGGTAAGAAGAGCGAAACTCCAACTCAAAAAAAAAAAAACGGAAAATGGCCAACATTTTCACCATGTTGGCCTGGCTGGTTTCAAACTTCTGACCTCAGGTGATCCTCCTGCCTCGGCCTCCCAAAGTGCTGGGATGACTCTTGGCTATCCTTTTCCCGGCACTCCTCAAGAGACTAAAGTGGAGAGTCAGAAGGATACACGTCCAGACTGAGAGGCAGAGATGGAGAGAGGTGAAGACACAGAAAGCCCCACCCAGAGAGACAGCCACATAGTG